TAGCAAAGTCACCCTTGAAATAATTAAATTGTAGCAATGTCGCCCCTAATGTTAAATGGAAAAATGTTAAATGTTAACTTTGGCTAACTCAAAAATAACTGACTCAAATAGTAGCAATGTTGCCCTTAAAAGTAATTAGATCATGGCCATCTTGGCCCGTACATTAAGTTTGAGTCAGCAAAGTTTAAAGGTCAATGTTTGCTCATTTAACATTAGGAACAACATTGCTATGATTTACTTACTTCAAGAGCAACATTGCAGCAACAGAGAGTTTAGGACATTAGATACTCCTATAAAAATAGTTCAGGGACAAAAATGATATTAACCCTTTTTTATATACCTGCAAGAATACTTAGGACAAGTAAAACTAGAATGATGATGGTGACCATATAAATACAGGCCTCTTGGTTCACTATATCTCCTTTCTATCCATAAATTGCAGCAGAACGAGCAATAACTTAAGACACAGAAAAAGATATCCTTTCTTGTTGTAGGCATGGGATAATGTTCAAATAGTAGTATTTATATGTCTTTCAATACCAAATAAGTGATTCTATTGTTTATTGACTTCTTTAATGTCAGTTCTTTAACTTTATTAGCAAAGGATCCTCAATATTCAAGCACTTCATTGAGAAAAGGTAGAAAGACAGTTATTAAACCCTCACCATGACAGGAACTATTTCTAGACACGAAGGATAGATATGAAAAAGAAAAGTGATAAAAAGCACAGCATCTTAATCGAGAGCACAATGACGGAGATACTGATATTAAAAGCATAACTGATTCAAATACCTGAAGGGGATTCTTCAACCATAGCAACAGCTTCTTCATCTTGATGTTCACCGGCAAGTCCATCATCAATATCGAGTTGGTTTCCATTCAAAATTTGCTCATCAGGCAATACCGTAAGATCCACTACAACAAGCAAGAGAGAAAAATAAATTAAGTAATTAACAGTAAAGTAATAAATAATAAATTAACAGTAAAGAAATTTATTATCTAGTCTATAAATTCTATAGAAAGCTCACTATTCATAAGCAAACAACGCAACACTTAGACGTCATGCAAAGCACGGGCAGTGAGCCTCAATCCTAGTCATTTTAATAGTTACTTCCTCCGTTAAAAAATGTCAGGCATTTTTAACTGAATCTTACCTCCCAATAAAGTACTTAGTTACTTTCCAACTAACCCTATCTTTCTATATTTAACCCTATTAAACACTCTATAATAAATATAAAGTCATTATTAATAAGGACATTTTTGAGAAAAAAAAAAAGGTAATGATTACACCTCAAAAGACTAAAAATGCCTTACATTTTTTAACAGATAAAGTATCTAATAAATTATAAAATGAAAATAACAAATAATATTTATATTTCTAGAATATTTCACATCAGGTGTGGTATGAGAAAAGAAGCCAACATGAATGGGAAAATATTTATAAATAGAACCGAGCTTTGGTGTTGTGTTGGCTTCTATTATAAAAGTGCACAATCAATTAAATCTAAACAAGATTATATTAGCATATGCGCTCGAGCTTTATAAACCATAGTACTGCAAAAGTCTAAAGTGAGGTCGACTCTTCAAAACGAATTAAAGAATTCGATTAGCAAAACCCAAGCTGTTCTACTAATTTCCACTTAAGTGATGTATTTCCCGAATCTCACAATTACATCGCCAAATAAAAGTCTATATCAAATTATGGTTTAACTGCCGAGAGCTTGAAGTATCAGGTTTCACAGGAGCTAAACAAAGTAAGCGAATAAAAAAGATAAATTGTAACCCCCAAAAAAAAATAAGGCAAATAAAAAATAAAGCCAGGCACACGTTCAATCATCGTTTGTTGCAATTCAGAGGGGAAAGGAAAAGGAATTTGAATTCTTATAGGTTTCCAGGAGCATTGTAGTGGGGAGTTAGCTTGATTTTCTTGATTTCAACTCACTTAGTTCTCTAACGTTTCAATATGCAGCTTTCGAATCCATTATGATTTATGACTTAGCATCACCTGATTTCGAAACCCTAGACGAAATAACATCTTGGCGGTAGACAATAGACAGTAACTCACATAATAGCCCCTTACAAGGTAATTGAATTAATGGGGTTTCCGGGAACACCGAAATGAGAAGTTGGCATGATTTTCTTCTACATTCCAACTACTATTGTTCATATAAAATAAAATTTAACACCACAAAAAAAAAAACAAAGCATAAGGAAATATAGAGAGAGGCATACCGCTGTCCTTCTTCGCATCCTCCCGCCTTCTCTTTCGATGGCGAGCCCAATCGGCGATGCTAGCGCAACCATCGGGATCAGGGCGGGCCTCTGCGGAATCCCCCATGATCTCGATCCGGAGAATCCTGTCGGAGAAGTTACTGACGTTGAAAGCGAAGGCAAAATTGGCGTCGGAAGGAGAAGCACCGCTAGAATAATCGGAGTCCATGACGGTTGCAGGGTGAAAGAGATCCGTATTGAAATCCTTCATCCTCACGGGTAAGCCTCGCCCAGGGAAGGACGAGAGCAGAGGGAGATAATGCTAGGCGAGGCCCACGGGTGGGCCAGAGGGAGAGGGTGAGGGAGGAAGGAAAGAAGAAGGGTTTTGTTGGATTGCAGAGAGGCGGTGTGGTGGAGAAGCGAGCGTTTAAGAGCCATAAATACAGAGTGTGAAAGCCATAACTCCTTTTGGTTTTGCGTGTCCTTTGATTTGGTTTACTTGTTTTGTTTGTTACATCATTTGTTAGTTCATTCATGCCAACCAAACTACCCAAATAATGATAACTAAAATTCGAACCAAAAAATAAAAATTATGGAATCTTTAGATTAAGAAAATTTTAAATACACAAAAATTTATAAATTTAATTTAAATAAATTTTAAATTATATTTTTTATAATTTTAAATTACTTTTATATTTTATTTATTTAAAATTTTAATTACTTCAAGTATTTTGTTCTTTTCACGTTCTTATTATTAATACATATATGATTTTCGTATTTTTTATTATATTTTATTAATTAAAAATAAAAATAAATCTTTTATTTTTATTTTTATTTTTATTTTTATTTTTGTTTCAAATCTTAATTCATCTCTCTTACTCATTTAAAATTTTTGAAACTATTCAAACAAATAATTTTAAATATATAAATTTTAAATATGAACTTTTAAATTTAAATCTATCGATCTAAACATTATCAAAAATTAAATATATTGTCAAGCACCAAGGAAGATAATACAAAGATATTTCCTTTGTTTTTAAATGTAGAAATATTTTAACTCGCTCACATGCTTTAAGAAAGTTAGATAATTTTTATGATTATGTCTAAAATTAAAATGTTTAGTAAAAATATCTTTATAATTAATATTTTTTTAAGTTAATAATACTATCCATTTATGAGAGGAAATATAATTGATGTTTTTTTTTAAATTTGCAATTTTGCTTATAATAAAATAATTCTTCTAGTATTTGAAAACAATGAGAGATTTCGTTACAAGATAGTTTCTCTTGAAATTTATAATTTTATTTATAATAAAATAGTATTATCTTACATTGAATTGATTTGAAATTTTAAATCAAAATAAAAAGTCACTTAGTTGAAAAAAAAAAAAAATCAAACTTTTCTTTGGCTGAGAAAACCAGACAATATATTTGAAGCCGTAAAAACAATAAACATATGAGACAAATTGTAATTTATCATAGTAATATTAATGTAATTAACATCATATATTACTTTACAATATCAATGAATTGTTTAATTTAACATGACAATAGCATCATATATTTTTTTGATTTTCTTAATCAAGGGAGATGCGTGGGAGAATTTTAAATCTTAAAAAATTAATCTTCAATATATATCTTATAAACTTCTTAATTTGATTCCTTTTTTTTTTTTTGCTAAAAAAAGAGCCCATTTTATTAATTACAAAAAATAACACACATGCCAATAGCTGAAGCCAAAAAATATTCCAAAAAACCTACATACAACTTACCGCACAAAACTCACTGAAAAAGAAAAAAACAAACAAAACAGCAAAAAAAAAAAAACCAAAAGCAATTAACCAATTATAACTCTATTTCAGTCATCACAAGAACAATCAAAAATAGAAATTCTAGTAATCCTTAAATCAGTAATTAAAAGACTGGATAAATAAGAAGTAGCTTCTGAAAGTCATCCAACAAAACACATCTTATATGCTTTTTAATTTAATCCGATAATACAAATCAGGCATTTCGATACATTTTAGAAATATAAATAAATTTTGTTCAGGATTGGGATATTAATCTTTATATTTTGGCCAGTCAAACTTTTTTTATCCTTCTAAATAATTTATTTTAAAACATTCTCAAGTATCATCGAATGTATAACTATTTAAAAGAAATCAATAAACACTGTTTCCTTGGTCAGTTAAACTTTTTCTTGGCAGCTAAACTTATCTTCTAAAACAGTAATCACTCATTTATCATCCTTAGTATTCGATCATAAACTATTTTATTGGCCATCAATATAATCATTGAGAATTTTTTATTCCCCACCTCCTATTGCTATTGCTAATAAGACTAAGAGCCCGTGTGTCGTAAACAAGTTAAACATATTCTCTCCATGTTGCCAACAAATATTTAATAAAAAAATTGGACCTAATCGGATACATACATGTAATGGTCGAGACATAAATATTTTATCTCTAAATATTTTTCTTTCTTCTTTAGTTCTTTTTCTCCCGCTCTCTCCCCGTCGTGTTTGAAACGTTCATCAGTCAAATGCGAACAACAGAATCACACGGCGTCGTTTTGGCGTCCTTTGCTCATATTGAGTCATATCCTTGGTCAGTAAAATATATCGATGTTTTTTTTTTCCTTCCCGGTTTTCTGAACGATATTCATCTTTCTTGGACAACTCTGGCTCTTAATTGTGTATATTGTCAATAAACATTCTCAGCCCATACTTATTTGCCCCACGATAACTCTGCATATATTGAAGATTACTGTGATTAGGAAATACAGATTGTCCTCGGAACAAATACACAAAGATCCCATGTTTGACCATTCATATACGACTTGAAATTAATTATTATATTTTATATACTCGTTGCACTAAATTACTGATTTTGACTGGTGCGTTAGAGTAGACCATGTCAAAGTCGTACGCAGTTAATGTGATAATATTGAGTCAGACACAGATTAGGCGCATGCCACTTATTATTGCCAATGACTTGCAACGAACATGACGAAATCACGTTTAAAATTGTACTTTACGATTCAAATAAAAGGTGTTCGTGTCAAACATTTGAAAGATTTTGAGGGTGAAAAAACTGTTAACTTTCAATGTAATCTTACTTACTACAATTTATATATGATCATTTACTATAAATATAAAATATTTGGGATCTAACACCTTCTCTTAAAAATAAGTGTCTATTTAGATTGTTTCATTAATCAATTTTTAGGGTCAAAAATCGATTAACGAAAAAAGTTATCCAAGCATCAATTTTATTGGGTAATCGATTGTTGGAAGAAAAAAGTTTTTTTCAAAAGCAACTGGAGAAGCGTACCAAAAAGTATCGGGAAAAATTAAAAAAAAAAGCCTAAGAAAAAAATTATAAAAAAGCATAAAATTTAATAAAAATAAAATTAAACTCTCTTCTCTTCTTTCTTTTTTTTCTTAATAAAATTCAAACTTTGAATCCTTAAAAAAATTACTAACATAAGTTCCTGTCAACCATCACTCTCCACTTAGCATTTACTATAAAATCAATTCAAATAAAATATTAATTGATGGAGGAAAAATTAATTTAATTTAATTTAAAATTTAGGATTATTATAAAGATTGTTGCAAAAGATCTACAGCAAGAGATTTTGCGTCATTTATGACATTGCTACATTTTTTATATTGTCAAAGTTTCAAGGCAGTGTTAAACATTTTTGTCAAATATGGGTCATATCCATGATGTCCTTGGAAATTAATTTATATATTATCATCTTTATTAGTTATTGTAAAATTGATGTTTGATATTTAAGAATTAAATTTTTTTTCTTTTATTAAATTTATTTGAAGAAAGATATATTGAGTTATTTCTTTACGTAAATTAAATTATTAATATTAATATAATTTAAATTTTTATAATTAATTAAATATGTAATTTAAATAATATATTTTAATTCTTAAATAAAATTTAACAAATTTAATAATATTAGATACAAATATATTAATAATTTAATTTTAAAAAGTAATATTCTTTATAGTAATTTATACAATTAAAACTTGATTCTAAATAAGTTTTTCAAAAATTTTAATTCTATTAATTTTAAAAAAATATTATTTAAATAGATCATGTTATAATTTAATCAATTATGATTAAAATTAACCATTTAATTAATTATTTTTATAATTAATTATATACAATTAAAATTCAAATGAGCACTAATTTATGGTCTTTGAACGCATAACGAGGCAAAAACATGTGCGGCAAATTGGAATAAATTATTAAGTACATGTTTGGATGTGGAAGAAAATTAATTTTTACAGTTAAAAAATTGATTTTACAAATAATTACCCAAACACCAATATTTCAAAAAATTGATTTTCTTCTAAAGCTACAAGAGTCAGCTTTTGCGGTGGAATTATAAAGGCATGTTAGAAAATTACAAAAATGTTCAAGAAAAAAATTATAAAAAAGCATAAAATTTAATAAAAATAAAACAAAACTATATTATCTTCCTTTTTTTTCTTAAAAAAATTGAAATTTTGGATCCTCAAAAAAATTATAAGCATAAGTTACTGTCAACCACTACCTTTCACTTAGTAATTGCTATAAAAGTAATTTAAATAAAATATTAATTGGTAGAAGAAAATTAATTTAATTTAATTTAAAATTGAGGATTATTACAAAGATTGTTGGAAAAGTTCAGAGAGCGAGAGAGAGATTTTACGTCATTTGCTACATTTTTTATCTTGCCAAAATTTTTAGACAGTGCTTAATATCTTTGTCAGATATGGCTTATATTTATGATATCATTAGGGATCAACTTATATATTATTATCTTTACTAGTTATTGTAAAATTTATATTTGGTATTTAAAAATTAAATCATTCTCTTTCATTAAATTTATTTGAATTGAGATATATTGACATTTATTTACGTACATTAAAATTGTTAGTATTAATATAATTCAAATTTTATAATTAATTAGATATGTAATTTAAATAATATATTTTAATTTTTAAATAAAATTTAACAAATTTAATAATTATATATAAATTTATCAATAATTTAATTTTAAAAAGAAATATCTTTTATGGTAATTTATGCAGCTAAAATTAATTCTGAATAAATTATTCAAATATTTTTATTTTTGTTAAAATTAATTTTAAAAAAATAGTATCCAAATATATTACGTTATAACATAATCAATTATGATTAAAATTAATTATTTAATTAATTATTTTTATAATTTATTATACCTAGGTGAAATTTAAAGAGGCACTAAAATGAAGTCTTTAAACCAAAACCAAAAAAAAAATCAAGATTGGATTTGTATCCCTTTTACACATATATAGTTGTTTTGTTGGGAAGCGACACTACT